CACCCTGGCCAGTGTAGCTAACTAAGTTGGTTGAGCGTTGTCCCATGCACTGAAAGGTCACTGGTTCGATTCCTGGTCACAGCACATACCCAGGTTGTGGGCTCAATCCCCAGTCAGGATGTATATGGGAGGCTACCAATCAATGCTTCTCTTTCACATCGGAAGGGAGAGTACCTCTCTCTCCCTTCTTTGCTCTCTAAAATCAATAAAAACGTGTGTGTGTGTACGTATATATATTTTAATCCTCACCCAAGGATATTTTTCCCATTGCTTTTTGGAGTGGAAGGGGGAGAGAGGAAAAAAGGGAGGGAGAAACATTGATGTGAGAGAGACACATTGATTGGTTGTCTCCCACATGTGCTCTGACTGGGCCTGGGATCGAGCCTGCAACCAAGGTATGTGCCCTTGACCGGAATCAAACCCTAAGTCCTTCAGTCAGAGGGGCGATGCTCTAATCACTGAGCCAAACCAGCTAGGACTCAATACAAACATATTTTAAAATAAATAAATAAAAATAGTTCTCGTGCTAAATGTAATCACAATTAATTTTAAGTACACAATAACTAAAACTATTAAAAATAAACCTTATAATGAACAAACAAAATTGAAACACAGATACAGAGAACAAACTGATGGAGACCAGAAACATGGGGTGTTGGGGTGAAATAAAGTGATGGGATTAAGAAGTGCTAATTGGTAATTTGAAAATAGGGTAAGGCATGGGGAATATATTTAACAATATTGTAATAACCATCTATGGTGCCAGGTAGGCACTTGATTCATCAGAGGAAACACTTTGTAACCTATATAAATGTCTATCTGCTGTGCTATACACTTGAAACTAATACAAAACAGCGTTAGATGCAAACTGTAATTTTAAAAAGTCTATTCTCCATTAAAAAAACAAAATAAACCTTATCCATGAATAGGGAAAAAATGACTGATAAGAAATTCAACAACCTGTTAGAGCTGAGATTAAGGAAGGATGGTATTTCGCATTTCACTTTTTCTGTAATACTGCTTTGGTAATATCTTAATTATTATAAATAAAAATATCAAAGGGAAAGAAGAGAAATCCAGTTACTAAAACAGAGGGCAGAAGACAAAACATTCCTTCTTTTTACCACAGGGAAAGACCACATATATTAAAGTCTTGCAAGCTTTGTAATGCCTCAATTTTGCTATTTTTATCTGTAGTAACCTTTGTTCATTTATTTTAGAGACAGTATGGCACAGGAGCTTAGGAGTATAGCTTAAGAACAGACTTAATTAAGATCAGGACTGATTTCTAGCTCTGCTATTCCCTATCTATGTAACTTAAAAACCTTTCCATACCATACCTAAAATATAGGGGTGATAATAAAAGATTAAGTGAGGTATTACATTTCCATGTCTACTACATACTAAGGCCACAATAAGTACTAAACGCTTATTGTTACTATTCTTCTAATAATTAGCAAGTAGCAACTCTTAATACCAAAATGCTTTGTCTTCAATAGTAGACAGTAACCCCTCCCAATGCCAGGCTTTCAGAGAGAACACCAGAGACCACCACGTGTGGTAATGGGTACAGAGGGAGGAAGAAAAGCGTCTGAGTGAGTAAGACCATGCCTAAGGAAAGAGAAAAGGACACAGAGAGCATTACAAGGACCCACATGGGATTTCCTAACCAAGCACTACATTAGGCAATGGGGGGTCAGAACTGAAAAAATAGAAGTGGCTCCTTCACCCTGAAGGACAAATACCATCAACTGATACAAATTCTTTCTTCTGAAGCATTAAATTACTTACTGTACTTTCTTCAAGCATTCATTTTTTTAGGCATTGTACTACACTTACTCATTTACTTGGCTTATTTTCTCCATTACTAAGTAAATAACTTGAGGTCAGAAACTATTTCTTTTTCACCTATATATCCCTTGAAGTGTCAGCACTATGTTCAGAACATAGAATGTCGGTAAATATTTGGTGTTAAAAGGTTGAGCAACATAGCTTTTAAAAACAAAGAACACAAGTTTAACTAAATTTTTCTGATTTACCATAATTTTCCTACTACATAATAAAACACTAAAATGTACAACTTTCGGTAATTTTCTACAGAGGTTTAAACTGTCTACAGACTGTTTGCTCACTGAGCCATATTTTCTCACCCATGATTTCCCATCCCAGAGGGATTTCTTCATTTCCTTTTAAAGGCTTTTTGTTGTGTGTGTTTTTAAAGCGACAAATGGAATTGAAGGGAGAAATAGAAAACTCAACAACTGGGGACTTCAATACCTACCCTCAATGACGGAACAACTAGACAGAAAAATCAGCAAGAACACAGGCTATCAAGCAATTGGACCTGACATCTATAGAACACTCTTCCCAACAATAGCCAACTACTCTTTTTAAGTGCACAGGGACCATTCTCCAGGATAGACCATATGCTGGGCCATAAAACAAGTCATAGTAAGTTTAAAAGAACTTAAATAAGACAAGGTATGTTGTATGAACACAACTGAACTAATTTAGAAATCAACAATAGAAGGATATTTAAGAATTTCACAAATATTTGGAAAGTAAACATCGCACTTCTAAATAACCCATGGGCCAAGGACATGACAAGGGAAATTAGAAAATAGCTTGAAGTGAATGCAAATGAAAACACAACAGATTAAAATTTATAAGACTCAGTTAAAAAAGTGCTTAGAAGGAAAATTTATAGCTTTAAACACCTACATTAGAAAAAAAAAAATGTTGCAAATCAGTAACATAAGCTTTCATCTTAAGAAGCTAGAAAAAGAGCAAACTAAACCCAAAGCAAGCAGAAGGAAAGAATAAAATTAGGATAGAAAACAAATATAAGATAGATTGAGACAAAAGTTGTTTCCTTGAAAGATCAACAAAATTGACAAATGTTAAGCTAGCATAGGAATCAGCAAACCTTTTCTGTAAGGAGCCAGACAGAAAATACTTTTGGCTTTAGAAGCTGTATGATCACTGTCTCAATGACAACTCTGCTATTGAGAGAGGAACACAGTCACAGAATATATAAATAAATGGGTATAGTCATGTTTCAATAAAACTTTATTTACAACAAACATATGTACTTGTCCCATGGGCCATTGCTTGCTGATGTTTGATGTATGTGGGCCAAAAATATCTACTAATGAAATCAAGGCATGAACGAACTCTTCTTTGGAGAATCCCCTACCTTTATTGGGGGTTGGGAGGAGTGGACACAGATTACAAAATTAAGGAATGAAAGAGGGGACATAACCAGAGACCTTACAGAAATTAAAAGGATTTTAAGTATGAACAAATTTATTCCAATAAATTAAAACTAATTTCTAGAAAGACAAAAACTATCCCAATTGACTCAGGAAGAAAAAGGAAATCAGAATAGATTTATAACAAGAAATTGAATTAGCAATTTAAAATGTTCTCATTTGGCCCTGGCCAGGTAACACTGTCCTGATATGCCAAGTTGCAGGTTCAATCGCCAGTCAGGGCACATACAAGTAGCAACCAATGAATGCATAAATAAGTGAAACAACAAATTGATGTTTGTCTTTTCCTCCCCCCCCCTCTAAAAATAAATAAAAATAAATAAATAAATAAATAAAATAGTTCCATTTTTTTTAAAAAGCCTAGATCCAGATGGTTTCACTCGCAAATTCTATCAAACATTTAGAGGAAAGGGAAAAGAAAAACAAAAAATGATCTTCCAGAGAATCTCGAGAGAAAGAGGAGGGGATGCTCCCCCCAACTCATTCTACAAGGCCAGTATTATTCTGATATTAAAGCTAGACAAAGACATCACAATATAGATCCTGAGATACAGAAGCATGGAACAGACTGACAAATCTCAGAGGAAAGGCAAAGGTGGGGGAGTGGGTGGGAAGAGATTAATCAAAGAACTTATATGCATAAATGCATAACTCACAGACACAAGCAATAGTATGGGGAAGGCCTGTGTACCCACAGGCAGATGTGGGGTGGAGAGGGTCAATAGGGGGAAAAAGGGGGACATCTGTAATACTTTCAATAATAAAGATAAATTTAAAAAAGGAAAAAGAAAACAACAGACTTATATTCCTCATGAATACAGACTCCAAAATTCACAATAAAATATTAGTAAATCAAATCCAGCAACAAATAAAAAGTGTTATAAACCATGACCAACTGGGATTCCCCCCACCCCCAGGAATACAAAGGGTCGGTTTGTAAAAAAATCAATCTATGTAATCTATCACATTAACAATTTAAAGAAGAAAAACCACATGATCATTTCAATAGACACCTAAAAAGTATTTGACAAAATCCCATACCCATTCATGATTTAAAGGGGGAGAGGGACAAAAAAACTGAAAAATTAGGAAGGGAATTTTCTCCACCCGATAAAGGGCATCTGTAAGAATCCTACACCTAACATCATACTTAATAATAGAAGACTCGATGTTTCCTCTCTAAGATAGAAGCAAGACAAGAATGTCCATTCTCAGTACTTCTATGCAACATTATACTGAGGTTCTAGACTGGAAAGGAAGATGTCAAACTGTCTGTTTATTGATGGCGAGCTTGTATGCAGAAAAATCCTGAAGGTTCTACAAAGCAACTACAAAAACTAATAAGAGTTTAGCAAGGTGTCAGGATACAAGCTCAATATACATAAATAAATTGTACTTCTACAATCTAGCAAAGAATAATCTGAAAATAAAATTGAGAAAATAATTCCACTCACATTTAAGCATTTGCAATTTTATTCATATAAAGAATCTAGTGATAAACATCTATGAATACATACAGTACTTTATTTCAGATTTCCGTTTGGATATTCGAACTCTCTACTGTTTCACAGTGACAGGTACAAACATGAAGTTATTAGAGAAAGTGACTGATTCAGAGAACGATGATTGTATTACAAAGTGAAGTGTGACCAAAATATAAGGAAATTCTGGGTTCCACTGGTTAAGAGTTCATTCTAACTAAATTCAAGAGCAGTGAAGGTCACTCACCTGCACAGCGTGGGACAAATCTGAAAGCAGACACTGACGGAGCCTCTCATCACTACCAATTCCTTGAAGAACAAAGTCAGGCACATAAGATGAACAGTAGCCACCCAACAAGGACCTCCCAAAATTGGCGATGTTGGGCTGAACGGCACTCACTTCAATTAACTTTGACCTAAAAAAAAGGTCCCAAAGGAAGGTATACCTAATTAGTAATAAACATATTTTACCAATAAAAAGAACTTTGGACTCTCCTAGTTCATATTTACAGTTCAATCATTCTTATATAAAAACTGGCTTAAGTGTTCAGTCATACCACAAAATACTCCTTTCCTATCCAGAGAAGAGGGTATAATAAACAACTCTAATGAGGTGAGCATATATCTTTCATAATAGACTTTAGGAATGCTGTCCCTTGTGTAACACATTCTTAATACAATCAGATAATGAAAAACATCATCCAAAACAAAGTAGTTAAGTATCTTACAAACCCAAAGTTTGGTTTCTAACTTTTCTCAAGTATGAATCTTCTCCTCGTACACTTGACCCAGAATATTATATACATTCCCTATTTTCCTCTTAGTCTTGGCCAAATTTATTTATAACAGCCATTTAACCTTCTCAGTGATTCTATCTCCCTAGTTGCCAAGGCTTCACAAAGCCTCTTAGGTGCCTACAGGGCTTAGCCTTTAACCCCTCCTATGAGTAATAGGACATGACAATAAAAGATAATTTGTCTAGGACAGTGATCTCCTCTTTCCATATTAGCTACTACTAACCTTCAGAGACCAGCTAAACAAAAGAATGGTACACATTTATATAAGGCCTATTATAGACTGAAACTTCCTACTTACCCAGGAAAAGGTATCTCATCTTCTTCTGCCCAATCTTCTTGCTCTCCTCCATAATAACTGCTTACTTGTCGAGTCATATCATGACCTGTATCTTCACTTTCACTATCCCCAAGAGCACTATCTGAACTTTCATTTCTTGGAATGTCCCATTCAGTTCCTACAGCAATTTTTTTCTCTGAACTCTCTTTATCCCCATGGGGGACAAGAAGGGAAAGTGTATGTCTTTGGTCCTGCTGAGGATAGCAGGTTTTACATGAATCTTGGTGAACTGTTTCTACACATTTACAAAGTTCATTGTTCTGTTTGTTATTTTTTATACACAATCTTTTTGAAAACTCTAACATACAGCAGTGTTCTTTATTGTCTGTACTTGTTTTAACTGGTATATCATCAATAGTCCTGGTTTCAATTGAATCATCATTAAAATATTCATCAAATAAGCTCATGCTTTCCGGGTCTGAATGATTCCAACAGGTAAGTTCACAGGGCGCTGCAGAAACCATCGTTATATTAGATTCTCTAGATTGGTCCTTAGTTGTTTGTTTAGTTTCTTGATGCTGATCAATACTCTCTCTTTCTTCACTCAGTGGTTTGGTGTGATGCCTGGTAATCTGATCCACCACAGCCTGACTCCGGAGTTCAGTATCTGAATCAGGTGACATAGAATCCCCAATCAAGAAAGTAACCTTTGCCTGGGTTGCCTCACAAGAAAATGCAGCAGTCACAAGCTTATCTGGAGGTTTTTTTTCTACAACCATTCCTGTGGATCTCAGCACTTTGCCTGTGTGATTACCAGAATCCAGCAATTCCTCACTCTGCCATGTTTCTTCTGCTGGTTCTAAGACTGACTTTGGCAATGCACATTTGTCAACTGGGGCAGAGCCTGTGCAAACAACCGTCTCTAACTTGGTGTCAAGGCAAGTTCTTAATTTATCTCTGCACTGTTTAACATCAACAGCATTTTCTTCTTGACAGTCAGAAGGCAAAATCATTCGGCACTCATCTGCAATTCCTAGCAGCTCCTTAGAGGTGTTTTGAGCATCTTCACTCTCCTGTTGAGAAGAATTCTCTGAATTTTGCCCAAGGAGTGCAGGACTGCAATATTTACAGTTACAATTAGGAGTCCTTGTTTCCTCTGACTCTTTAAAGAGCAAACTGCTTTTGTTTCTATGCATTGTGATAAGTACATACTCAGATTCTTCTATTTCACCTTTCTCTAATGTAGTAGTAATTACTGTGCCTGGCATAACAATGGCTTCATCTTCTCCGTTTTCTAAAAGATGGGTTTCTTGAAGTTCAGAGCATCTTATGAAGTAAGTAAGAAAATAAAGCAGCCGCTGGACCATGTCTTGTCGTTTTCCAACTACCACAGTCCTTGCTAACCTTACAGGAGAGCCAATAGCACCATACAAGTCCCCTGCAATGGAAAAATCAGTTAATGGACACATCCTTTACTCATGCAGCTAAGCAAGCTATTTTCAATTACTGGAAACCGACTCTTATTGTATGAGGGTTCAGGTTTTATTCTTAGTTCTTTAATAGGTGAGTGACTGCTCAAGAGAGTAGGATGAGATGAGTGATCTAAACCAAAGAGAAAGGTGAATGCAGGGGTATTCCACCTTCTTCCTTAAAAAGTTGCTGGTTTCCAGCTAGCATGCTCAGTGGTTGAGAATCAACTTATGACCCGGGAGATCGATGTTCGATTCTCAGGGCACATGACTGGGTTGTGGGCTTGATCTCCAGTGCGAGGCATGCAGGACTCTCTTATCACTGATGTTTCTATCTCTCTCTCTCCCTATCCCTTCCTCTTTCTGAAATCAATAAAGATATATTTAAAAAGAAAAAAAGTTGGTTTTGAAACCTCAAGCAAAGAGTCACTTGTAAAAGTAAGATCTACCAAGAATATTTTCTGTGCCAGGCTCCAAGCAGACACAGAGCACTCCATTTGAGTGGAGAAGTGCTGCCTGAAATACTATGTGTAAAAAGATTCTGTAGCTGTATCCAATGCAGAGAAGAGAAAGCACAGTATCTTCTGGGGGACAAGGGGAAGAAGGGAGTGGTGGTGGAATGGAGCAGGGCTGGAGCAGTCAACATCACACACTTAGCCTTTCTTGATTTAAATCATAACACCAAACATTAACTGTTGGTACCCTAACCAGGACCCCATAAGCACCCATGGTTTTAAAAGCCCATTTTCCCTTCCAGTCCCTCAAGGGTTGGGTCCTCAGGACAGACCAGAAAGGGGAGGAAGATTGAGACATATCCTAAGTGGAAAACAACAGGCAACACATTTAGCCATGTGGTTCATTTCACTTCTGTATCTATGCTAGATATGAACAGCCATTACATTATAAAAAGGGGCAGATGTAACTAAGAGTTACCAACATCATTTCTACATTTATGCTATATCTCAAATTATACCAACAAAGATGCCAAAGCATTTTAAAATGGACACTACAAAGTCATTAATTTAATTTAGTTGAATTTTGCAAGTTGTCAGTATACACATTTAAAAACCTCTATTTAAACTTTATAAAAGCCTGACACTTTTTAAAGGAATGAACACATATACGTCCCAAATAAAGGTATGCTACAAACAGTATTATGATAAATTTTCTTTTTTGCTAAGACACTGGCCCTAATACCATCATGCCACTGTTCGAAACTATTCCCAAGGCTCCCACTAATTACTAAATAAATTGAAACTGCTTTGGCATGGCAAGTGAGTCTTTCATGAATAGTTCCACTTTACTTCTCCAGGTTACCTTCTTATAGTTACCCTTTTACATCTTTATTCACCCAAAGTCCCACTTAAAGTGGACTGCTTAAACTGGGCCACTGAATAGGCTCAGCCCTTAACACCTAGACACCTTTACTCATGTTATTTACATTCCCTTCCCTCTGTATTTTTACCAGTCCAAAGCTTCCCACCCAATTATCCTCCCTTGGGTACAAGTTTCCCCCGTTGAACTCCCACGAAACTTTTTATTTCTCTCATAGTTCCTCTCTGAATTATTATTATTGTCCACATATGCATTACCTACAGTATAATACTGTTACTGTCAACTTATTGAGGGCAAGGACTAGATATCATTCATTTTTATAGCCTCCAATGCTCTTTGTACAGAGCCTTAGATATACCATGTACTCAACAGATAACTGTAGAGTTGAAAATAGGTTTGAAATGTCCAAAAAAAATTACTGAATTACATGATTTGAAAAAAGAAAAGTTATTAACCATACAACAGAATACTACTCAGCATTAAGAAGGAAAGAACTATTAATACATACAAAATAGGTGAATCTCAAGATAATTACATTAAATGAAAGCATGTACTGCTGTGATTTCATTTATTTAAAACTCTAGAAAAAGCAAACTATAATGACAGAAAGCAGACCAGCAGCTGCCTGGGTATATGGGACAGTGAACAGGAAGTGTGGAGAAAAACAGGAGGAAGGGTATGAGATAACTTTGGAAGTGAAGGATATGTTCACCATCTTGGTGATGGTTTCAGAGGTATATATATTTTGACATATATACCAAAACTTACAAAATTGTATACTTTACATATGTGTTTACTATATATTAATTACTCTGTAATTCAGTAGAAAAAAGGAGAGGAGGGAGGGAGCGAGGGAAGGAG